GATCTTGTCACTTTTTAAAAATATTCTCACAACTATCAACATTTAGAAATTGATTTGTTCTTTTACACCGAAGTCATCATAAACAATTTCAATATAATATAATTTGAGCGTGGAGACATCTTAAAAGTTTATCTTCCTGCTTTCTAGAAGGTGAATTTCTCTTAAAGCTCTGTGAAGGATTATAAGATTATTACACCTCGTACTCTGTCGACGGTAATCCCCGTTAACGGAGGTCGTCTTTAGGGCCGTCCCTCGTCGGAAGGACAGCCGATAGACCGCAGGCTCGATTTCAAAGAAGCGCGCTACAGCATAACCATAATTCCTCGAGAAATATGACCCAATGACACAATAAGTACCGGTCATTACCGCGCGCGTAACCGGCCCCGGCAGGCGGTAAGAAAATTAAATTCCCACGCGCAATTGCCTTCGCGCCGTTAACGTTTTCCGTTCGCATTAGAAGATCGCTTGTGCAAATTTGCAGCCACGTTTTAGCCACGCTACTTTTCCGCGCAGATACCACAGGAGATAAAACGGAGAAAAATCCCGTCAACACTGTTATTTGAATTTTTTAAATGGACACTCGTAGCCGCGGAACGAAGCCGCATTTTAGAGGAGCTTGCGACGCGCAAAGGCTCCCGGCTTTCCTATTTCCCTTACCGCGATTACGAACGTATTACCGCTGCTCCTTGCGGCACTCGTGTCTGAGGAATAAAGTCCGGATCGCGCATAAATATTTCACACATCACCCATCAAGATATACAGGCGTTTAAAGGCGCGCGAGGAGAAGAGCGCTCCCGGCACTCGGGGTTGGCTCGCGGAAAGTTTCGCGCGATTTTACGTTGCGTCATAAATGCGGGATGTAAATCATGCAGAGGACACGAGTGACTCCGCGGAGGCGCGTAAAAGTTGAAGGATCAAGAAGGAAGTGAAGAGGAGTCAGAGGATCATCGACAACGTAATTAATCCTGTGCATTGGCAGGACTTGACAATTATTTCTTTTTCTATTTTTCCTTTTTTTTATATAAGGTATTACATAAAATCAAAGATCTCCTACGAAAGTTGTGAAAGTTTATAATTTATAGAGCCTATTAAAATACGTTACGGAGGAGTGACGTGACGCCACGTGACCAAAGATCATTGTATTCAATTTATCATTGTATAGCAGCCCGTGAATTTTAACATTTCTATTAAATTTTATTAGGAATTAAACGGTTTTAGAAATTAAAAATTTTCTTAATTATAATTGCGCTTCTCTCTGCTCAAACAATAAATTGTGACTCTAATATTACATTTTTATTGGAATAAAATAGGCCCTTGATAAACTGAGTTGATTATAGCTATACGTCCGTTTTCTGTTATTAACGACTTGTGGTTCGTAAAAGGCAGTAGCCTGAACAAAGAACGTACTTCCGTTGAATGATTGGAGCATATCGTAAAGTATGGAGCTTTTCGGAAGAGAGCAGCCACACGTGCTGACCACGTGTTTCGTCGGGAGCCTGCTGTAAAGTAGTCATAGCCCGTGCTCACTCATCATCACGAACAAAGGAAGACGCGTCGTCACTCCTCCGTAATAAATTTCGTGAAACGATCACTCGCGCATGCCGATAATTAACGATTAGATCTAAAAACGGCGTGCCATTCTTCGATGTGTGATTCCTGCATTTTTTTTTATTAATCACTGAAAATTGAGTAAGTTCTATGCTACGTGTCTTTTCAACGATAAACCAACAAACATTGATTAGTTTGTTCAAAAATTATAGACGGAATCTTATCGCGGCTGATAGACCGTGTTTTATACACACATGAAGAGCAAAAATATCCGTGTGACTCGTCATTCTCGGAAGGAGTAGCTGTGATATTTAATCGAATATGATAAACGTCATTCACGACGCAGCACGGTATCTCGTCTCCCCGCGCCCTGACTGATACAATAAAGTAGCTTTTATTTACAGTCTCATGGTCGATCAACATGGCCCTTGAATCGTGATTTAAAAAAAGGCGTTTCCACACAACAGTTTTTTTTTTGAGGTTATAAATATATTACTTATAAAAAATAATAAAAAGTAAAATAAAAGTAGAAACTCGAAATAAAGATTATTTTTAATTATTTTTTATAATAATTGTAAATCTGTTGCTGGTGTCCTGTCTGCACGTAAAAAGTTGCTTCTCTGCTGCGATCCGCCTGGCAAAAATAACTCGCCCTCCCGCTTTGAATTAAGAAATCGAGCGTTGCCATTGTCGACGTAATGCGGGGAGCTTTAAGTTTCGCAATCGCATTACGCCTATTTATGAGCGACGCGATGACTGCTCGCTTTATGCAAATTGTCGCATTGCAATTCTCAGCGAGAGAAGTGCAAACGTAGCAATTGCATATGTATATAAGAATCCTTCGCTATTATAGCATAAATTTTCATCCAGCATTTATATGTGGACTAAAACGCGGTTTTTTGTAGCTAAATTAGAAAGGGAGAGAGACAGAAAATGTGTAATAAAATTTTTAATCCCTTTATGTTAATTGCATTCAAAAAACTGTATTTTGTAAATTAATTTTTTCGTATAAATATTTTTCATTCAATAATCGATTCTTCGAGATAAGCGGCGCGATTCATTTCAATAGCTTATTTGTTGTACTTTTAGTTAAAATAATAATTTTCGAAAATTAATCAAAGCGTCGTATTGTTTCTTCATTGATTACGTCATGTTAACGCGTTACTGTCGACAATATCGGCCCCCTTCAAATTCATTATCGCGCACTGCGAAATAAATTAAAACTACTACGGTGTAAAATATTTGTGTCATTATTCCAAGAAACGCACGTTATTATGCTGCACTAATCACGTACGAAATGACAACGTACGGCGATCGCTTGCCGTTCATTCGTTCGTTCACGATGACATTATGAAGTAAGCGTTTATAAACGCACTTCTTTTAATGCGTTTAAGGCATTCATAATTTTTAGCTGTGTATTGCAGTATTCATTCAGAGCTTTACCAAGCGTTGTTGAATGAAGAGGCTCCAATTATAAGGTATTTAACTTCGTTGACACACACGATTTCTTCGCTTCCTATGATATCGTATGTAGAACAACATTCCAAACAAATTAATTATCGAACGAGATCGAGATGCGAGATTTAAATATTTAAATTTAATTTTGCCTTGCAACACACGTCAGAGGTAATAAAAGATATTAAAATGTTCATTCGTTTCTTACATATAATAATAAGTGAAGTTAAAATGTTAGAATCGTAAGTTTGAATATTCTAAATGTGTTGTGCATTACGCTATACTTTGCTCTGGAAATTAACGAATGAGGAAACGTGGAGACATAAATAAATAAATAAAAAAGAATTTGTTTTCTCGCAGCACAGGTAGTGCGGCACTAGACACGCGGAGATTTAATCGGCTGGACATTCCACGAGGATGATGATTTCACGGTGATGTCACCGCGGCATCGAGCGGAATCGTAATCAGGATTTCGCCTTCAAGGATGGGCGCGCGCACCGGCCGAGCGAGTATCGCCGGCGCGGCAGATACCGATCGCCAACTACGATAAATCGAACGATTACGAATCACCGCCGTGCTCGCGTCGCGTCGCGACGCCGCGCCGCGCCACGCCACGCCGAGATGTAGGATGCGCGGCGACGTGCTACCGGCTTGTGTAAACAACGCGCCACACTTCCGTTAAGCGGCCGCTTAATCCGCGATATCGCCTGCGCGATTCGCATCGATCGATCGGCTGTCGCGTTTAATTGGATGATCGGAGCCGTGCCAGGTCTAACGATCTCGCCTCTCGTCGTTTTATAGTTGCCGAACTCGACGGCGCGGACCGAATACAGCGGCGTGGAAAAACACTCTTATCGGCTGCAGCGTGATTTATAAGTATAATTTTGCGACTAGTTCCACCCTAAGTTTCGCGCACGATAAATAAATAGCGCCAAAATTATACACGTGTAATAGTCGGTTTCTAGATGTTTTTCGGCCGATTATTTCCCTCGCTACTCGCCACGTGTAATAAATGACTTGTCGATTGACGTCACAGCGTGCATTGCGCGCGTGTCTTAAGCAAAAGAGAAGCAGAAAAAAACAGAACGCTTAAGTTGCGTATTTTATTATCAGGCCGCAACGTTAACCAGTTGTCATAATCCTGTGCGGTATGCGACACTATTCGTATTTATATTTTAAAAGAGCTGCTCCGATAAATTGCATCTGCACCTATCGACGGGAGTGCTCCAATGCGCAATAGAAATTCCTCCCGCGGCAAAAATATCTTGCAGCCTGTCACCAGTTATGGTACAAATGTCAATTAATCAGTCGAGGTTTAATTGTCCGTGAAAATAAAATGTGACATTCAAAATATTCGGCACTTTGAAAGTAAATCGATTTAATAGTACACCTATTACTTTCTTGTCTGCATTTATCAATCGAGTACATTTATGTTTACGTTAAAATTTTTCAAATGTTAACCACACACAGTTCAAGTATTCATCAAACTGCTTTCAATATTTCGAATAATTTCTTAATATTTAGAAAACGCGTTTTAGAAAACGAAGGCAGTCACTATTGTCAAAAGTTATCGCTGTTTCGCTGTTGCGAAACTCGTGTATATGGGATTCAAGATATTCGACATTTTGAAAGTAAATCGAATGAAATTTAATAGTACACCAATTACTTTCTTGTCTGCATTTATCAATCGAGTACATTTATGTTTACGTTAAAATTTTTCAAATGTTAACCACACACACAGTTCAAGTATTCATCAAACCGTTTTCAATATTTCGAATAATTTCTTAATATTTAGAAAACGCTTTTTAGAAAACGAAGGCAGTCACTATTGTCAAAAGTTATCGCTGTTTCGCTGTTGCGAAACTCGTGTATATGGGATCGTCGGCGACTGCAAAGCGTGTGAAATTTTTCCCCGCGTGCAATTTTCCGCGAGTCGGGTCTCCATTGTCATTGTAGATACAGGATGTATAACTTTCGAAAGTGAAGTATATACTCACCCGAGGATCTCCAGCCGACGTTCAGGAGCGCGCACGGCGACGACGACGATGCGCGGCGACGGTGCGTCCACGTGTCCGACGAGGCGGCGTAGTTTAAATTTACTTGTATGTACAAACGTCGGCGCGAACACAAGAAACCACCGGCCACACCGCGGCTTCTCTTTCACGAACCCGCGCCGCGCGCGATTGTATCACCACGCGGCCAGGCCCCACGCCGCCTTCGGCTCTCGTGCGCCGGGCTGCGTTTCCGGCGCTTCACTTTTCCGCGAAACGTCGGGCGGCTTCACTTCCGCGAAATTCCCACGAGCGAACGAGTACGGGACGCGACCGCGCGATTTTGTCTCGCGCGCGTTAAAACGCGATACGTCACGTCTCCGCTGGTCCTCGGAACTCGTCGTTTTCCCCGCGAAACGTGTCGCACGAACTGTCGCCGATAAGGTTATGACCGTATAACAGTTCGATTTCCGACCGAAGGACTTGAAGTTGCAGCGCGTCGGTCACGGCCGCGCTTCAGCGGCTTCAGTTTGTACTACTGACGAAGTCCGACGCCAGCCGTACGTCAGTTCCGGTCAGTACGAGTCGAATTTTCACACTGTCGCGCGTCCTACGTTATTCACGATGTATCCCGATGTTCCGCTCTACTCCGCGTGGACACGAGAGGCTTCTCTGCGGGCACGTTGACGTCGCGCAATCGCTCATGCAATCGCCGGGGTTATCCGTAATGTTGTGTACCTACGCGACGCATCACGTGGCCGCAACTGTTACTCGCCGCACTTGTTGATTGTCGCCATGGTCACGAGCGCCCCGCCACGCCGACGAGGAACGTACGCTCCGAAATTCCGATACGCCGCCACCGGGGATCACCATCTACTCGAGTATTAGTAAGTCCCGATAAAATCTCGTATTTAATGAAGGACACGTCGGGCCACGGACACTCTCGATCTCGGTCTCACACTTTTCACGTTTTTTTTTTCTTTTTTGGAACGCGTCGAAAAACTGCCACGCACACGAGTCGACAACGAATTGCGGGGGGGAAGGAGCACCCGCCGGTCGGTGCTTCCTCTTGTCGTTACGTTGTCTCGGCGTTGACCTCGCTGTGTCACGACCGAACGAAGGACCGTGCGTGGTCGGCTGTGTGTGCTGTGCGCAAAGCACTTCGTAGTTAACGAAAACTCATTCGGGGGCCAACGGCTCCGAACGCGACGACGCACCGCCTACGCGCGCGCGAGCGATGCGTTCAAATCGAATTAGCGCCACGAAATGCGGGAACCGACTCCCGCGACCGCCGCGGCGAGACTGAGAAGCGACAGCGGCGTGCGCATGCTCGGCACGCTTACTGCTCCGCGGACTCCGGAGCGAGCCAGTCACGAAGTCGTCCCCTCTCAGTCGCACCCGCGACATGCAGCGTCGCGCATCGTTCGCCTCTCTCTCGCTTCCGACCTGTCTCCCTCGCACGCCGCCCGGCCCGGCCGCGCCGCGCCGCTACCCCTCCCGCCGCCCCGCTCGCCGTGCGCGCTTCATTGAGAATCCTTATCTCCGCTTCTTCCGAACGTCGATTGCTTACATCAGAGGTTCCCAAACGTCTCACCGCACCTCACGTCGCCTTCTGTTTACCTACGAAACTAACGCACATTTAAATCCGTAGGTATAACTTTTAAGAGTAAACGTCAGAGTTCAAACTCGAGATTTGAAAATATGCAGAGAAAACTGTACGCGTATCGCAACACGTTGTGTATTTATTGAAATGATTTAAGTGTGAAGATGCACTTAAAGATAATACCGCAATATTAATTTTTATGTAAAAAATAAAGATTGTTTTCTTGCACATTTTCAGTTATATGCACATAAAATGAGTTATAAATATGTCTAAAAAAAGATTGATCATGTGATCTCTTTTGCGGGCTATTTGATGTGAAGAGGATAGAAATGTAGTTAAAACCTAAACAGATTTTTTAAATTTTTATTTGATTTCATCTGTCATCACCATTTATATCTAGCTATGTAAAGTAGATAAAAAAACATATCGTTGTAAAGGATTGTGACGCCAAATAGCATCGAAACCTTTAAAACGTTCTTCTGTAGAATCATTTATTTCTTTTATTATTCGATTTAAAAAAATATGTAATTTTATTACAAATTTTGCGTGATGAAAGTTGCAAAAGTAAAAGAATTTTTTTATAATTAAAATTAAAATTTAGAAAGAAATCATTTAGAAGAAAAAGTCAATCAAAATGTAACCAATTACAGAAAAAGTATTAAAAAAATTCGAATACGTCCAATATTGAGAAAAAATATATATAAAGATAAATAATAATTTTACTCAATAATTTCGTAATCGTATCCTTCTTTCTAAACGGGTGCTTTTTACGAAAAAAAATGAATCTTTTGTTATGCCGTCGTTTAAATTTGTTTTATGAAGAATATAATTTTTACGAAATTATCTTTAGTGTTTTATATACAATATTATCTTTTTCTCACTTTCTCACCTAATCGGTACGATAACCCCGTCCACCCGTCTCGTCAACGCTTACGCAGCCCTCATCCTCTCAGCTGTTCCACGTGGAGGCACGCACGTGCGTGTGCACGCGTAGGCGTCCGTCGCGCTGCAGGCGCCGGTCCTCAGTTTTCACGGAATGATCAGCAGGGATGCAGGAGTCTAATTACGCGTGCGTGCCTACCGATTGTTTGCTGCACAGTCGGAAATTTTTCTGACTACGTTGTAATATGGACTAACCGCGTCATGAATAATTCACTCGAGAAACAATTATTATTATTATCCTTAACTTTGTTTTGTTAACTTTCATCTACGCGCTAAATATTTTACCGACAAGCTCAGACCATTTTGATCATTCTCTCTGGCGAAGGGTAATAGTTTCTTGAAATATTTTTCAACGTTTCTTTTCTTTGTTACTAAAGCACTTATTATAGAACTGCAATATATATAGCTTTCGATATATCAGGAATAAAATTCCTCCGCTACGTCGCGATTAAAAAATTATGGCGTTTGTCTTGACAAAACCAATTTTTGCTCGATATCCTCGGGCGTTTCTCGAAATGGCAAGTCAAAATTTATCGCGGCAGGACTGATCGATGGAATGCAATGAAGAACCTCCGTGCAGAATGTCCGTTTCAACCGCGCGCGCCGGTCCGATGCGAATGCGCGTCCTTGAAACCAAGGATCCCGAGCCATTAATTCCGCGGAGGATGTTCCGCGAGAGAGAACATTCGTCCTCGCCGAGACTCAGCTGTTTCTTACGGAACGTGCGAGCATGTTGGAGCACGCGTGGATACACGTTCCCGGTTATCTTGAGTGAATAGTGCCAGCCACCACGTCGCCTCATGGTCTGTTACTCAGAAAGATCTCTCCCATCCGCCGTCATAAAATCGACGAGGAAAGACGCGCGACGTCCGTTAGATCTTAAATTTACGCGCGGCTCGGCACAAAAAGTGTTTATTAAACTCCATTTTGTATATATATACTTAAGCAAAAAAAAAAACATAAAGAGGGAAACAGTTTCTCTTCGAAATATTTAAATTTACAAAACGTAATTTTGTGGAATTCTACACTTAATTCCAATAGATAAGTAGTTTCTCTAACAAGTCTCAAAAAACGAGACTTTCTCTAGTCTTTAATATGAAATATCTACTTAAATATTTTAAAAGAATACGGCAAGATGTGATTATTTATGATTAAGTGCATGATAACATTTTTCTTTTTACGATCATTTTTTTAATTTTTTAATTTTATTATTCCAAGCACTAAATTTTTTTTATATATTTGTACTAATATTGGAGAATTATATGGAAATTTATTATTATGCATTAGAACATTCCGCGTAATACCATGTCATTGTCCTATATGACGAGTCATAATGCACGGGACTTGCAAAATCGATAATCGACGAGCAGGAAGAAGCTTGCCCGTGCATACATCGTATAGCCATGCGGCATGCTCGCCGCATGCCAACGAGATTACCCTATTATTACTTCATCTAGTGCGGGATGGTGCTAGCCCCGTGGCTTTCCGTGCTTTGGGTACGCTGAGATAATCAGCTATTTACCGCGCAGGTTGTTCAACCCTCCCGCTAAGAACGGAGCAAGGTTCTTTGCACGCCTACGCTATAACGATTGTAAATATTCACTTAAACGAAGGATCCATAGCGATCGAGTGCTTATCTCATTAATTCTTTAGAGCTATTAGGTATCTCCATTTTTTGCCTTTTCACTTAGGTCATTCCCGATATAAGAGTGCTATTTATAAGATTTTTTAGGAAGTCTGAAGTTAAAACTACTTGCGGTCTTAGCTCATTGCATAAACGAGACGTTTAAATATAATTGGGATATCTCGGTCGAACGATAATAATTGACATCGCGTTGTATAACTCTCTTTTTCTGGAAGTCGGCGGCATTGCGTGTCACAAGAGAGTCCGGCGGCGTCTTTGCGGCACATCGCGCGTCTCAACTTCAATTCGTCGAGGGAAATATCATGAGCGCCCGCATGCCTTTCCATTAATCTCAATTACGGCGCAATTAAAAGCATTTAACGAAAGTGGGGTCACGAACCGACGACGTGCCCACCTTCATAATCGGGCTCTTTCGTTCTCGCTTTCATAACTGTTTCACGCACGTTATTTATGATTAAGGGAATATTAAAAAAAGAGTTTAGAGAAAATGAAATTTTTTAACGTCAGTTAAAACATTACGGTACGCGCACATATTTATGTGGGTATTAAATTGCAAAGAACGATTATATATATATTAAAAATATTTTATAATTATAAGAAAAAAATAGTTGTGATAGAATTATGTTTGTTACTTTTGTTTCTAATTATGGAAAGCTTTACTGGTCGTTCAAATAAATAGTAACGAATAGAGATAACAATTTTCAAGCTTATGTACGTCATGTATTCATGTGGGATCAGGGATTGAAGTTTCGAAACGCCGCGCCGTGTAGATCACGGACGGTGCTTTCTGAGCCGCGGGAGTTATGATATATGTGTTTTCGTGTTCGAATTCATCAAGGCGCATTAGAGGGACCCGGAATATCTCGCATCGTCGATTTCATTTGCATTCCTTTTCTCACCAAGGCCGCGCCTCGGGCCCATGGGACCCATAGCTCCAGGGGTCCCCGCTCGGTTGTTTCACCGCGCGCGTCTCTCGTCTTTGGTTTTCGTTCTCGCGCGCGAGGCGGTGCGTATTAAAGGTCCTCCTCGATAATAATGACAAACGTTCGTCCTCGCGGCGAGAATTATTCGTTTCGCGATCGCCCCGTCGAGGGGCCTCCACGGAAATGCGGGCGTTAAATCAACGACTGGCACGAACCTAACTTACCTCGTTATCGCCCTTACGCCCTGCACTGTGTGACACGCGAGATTTACTTAACAATGATGACGATGTCTTGGAAAGGCAAATGCAAGGGTCGTTATTCACCAAAAATAATCAGTCTTTCGTAATCCATACGGACTCGTTACAATCTCTAATCTTTAAATTAAGATTAAAAAATTAAATGTTAGAATTGAAATCAATATTAATACAAACAAAAATTTTTAATATATATATATTTCATAATGTATATGATTCAATTTCTCATATAAGATATAATGCAAGAGATTACTTAAATTTTAGAGAATAAATGTATTTAATTTAGTTCTGTAATTAGATATTAAATACGATAATTTATGAAATACAATAATTAGCGTTTACAATAAATTTAACATAGAAAAATTTAACTTTTCTCTTGTAAATACGTACATTTTTGTCAACTTATATCGTTGCTTGACAAAAGTCGGTTTTTCTAGCTGCAATGACGATGCAAATCAGGTAGGAACTACGAAGAATAGATAATATATAGATACAATCTTTTGAATAACAGGGGAAAAATATGCTTCTATGGTGTATCTGCTGGGATGTTTTTAAAGGTTTTTTTTGCGACCTGTTTTGTGTGGAAAATTCTCAACGGTTTCTCATATTGGAATTTTTCTGAAGAGATAAAAATTGAAGCGATCCTGCATCCTTAAATCTTGCTCTTAGCCTCAATAATATTTAAAAATGATAAAATTTTCGTGTATATTATAAAAAGAAAATTAAGTTTTTATTTTCTATTCTAAATCGTAGAAATTGGTTCAATTAGATGTAAATATTTCTATAAAGTCTTAATTATAATTATTAATATAAAATACATGACCGTAAACTGTCAATCTCATGTAATAAAATATCGTATATTTACGGATTTCTCTAGTTTCCAAGTTGTAACCTTGACAATAACACATTGATTTGTTCTCGATCATACTCGGCGCGGCGTCAGG